TAGCACTTAAACAAAGCGTCCAAATTTGCAATAAAACTATTGTTTTGTGTATTGCTTTATAGTCCCACCTTTTCCTTGGAACTTGTGACGGATCAGGTTACGACGGCAAAATACTTCTTCAAGTACTGACTAGAATGGCGAAAGTTGCTCTGATTTATACCCTATAAGCCTCGTAAAATTTATTCTCTTGCGTGCGGTGTTAGTCTTTCGCAATATACATGACTGGAGGCAAGTTAAAAACATTCTTAACTGTTGATGTAGTTACACTGACGACCAAACCATTACTGACCGGCGTGGTCAGTTTTATTGTTTAATCTCACCCTAGTTAATACATTAAAATTATATCTCGATTTTATCTAAAATCGCCTTCTTTTTTTACCAAGTTTATGCTATTTGTCTCTCCGGCAACGTTTATAAATTTGGGAGAAATGCATTATTTCCGAGTAACTGAAAATGGCGAGAGATGTTTAATGCTGGAACTCTTGTATAATTGTCTTTGGATGATGGGGCAATGTTTGGAATTATGTTAAAATAATACCTATTTCTAATTGTTTTGACTACCATTCTCTTAATATATTTCTGGCGCCAATATCTTGAAGAATATGTTTCGAAAACGGTGAAAATAGAAAACCCGTTTCCAGCATGCGAAAACGGAAGGAATGTATGTTCAATAAAGGAGGATGAATTTTGTTGTTTCGAATGCGCGAAATTTCTGTTATTTGGTTCTCGCATTCCTCCGGAGTAACTATTACTAAATATCGTGAGAGTTTTTGCGGAATCAGGGACTGGACATAATCAGAATATTATTATATTAAAAAAATACCTTCTTGTTCATGTTGTTGATATGGTAAAATAATTTGACTACCAAAGCTTTGTCTTGAAAAATTGAAAGACAGTCGAACCTGTATATAACGGCCCTCTATTAAGCGGCCAGTTTTCATAGTCCCGAGGATGGCCGCATAATACAGGTTCGACTGTATTAATATTTATTCTTTCTTTGATATGTTTCCGTCGTTAGAATGTTACTGAAAGCACGCAATGTAGTGAACGCTTTTAGTCTTGAACTTGAACAAGCATTTGAGCGAAAAATGTGAGACCAAAACTACCTGGTTTTCATTTGATGTTATCAAAATTTTAAAACCAAAACTACTTTCGACATTCGACATTCAGCTGCTCACAGTTTATTGTCACTACAATAAATTAAATTAGTCTTCATGGGAATTTTTATGTCGAGCAGATCTTCGTTTTAGAAATAAAGCGTTTTCAAATTTGTTTATTTGGTCGAGCAATCTTCTTCTACGTCCAGATGCAATAAATAAAGCCTAGATAGCGGTAAAGGGATTGGACAAGTAATAATTTAGGGCCTGTTTACATGGAGGGAGGGTGACCCGGGTAACCGGCTCACCCTCCTAGCCGGGCTAAAACATAGCCCGCCTTTACATGGGCGGGCTATTAGGGCGGGCTATCATATAGGCGAGCTATCTTTTTTGGTGGGCTCTTGTATTGGCGGGCTCATATTTTGGCGGACTATTTTTATTGCAACGGCGCGATTTATTTACGCTTAAAAGCACTAAATAACAAACATGGCAGCAAGAAGAAAGGCTATAGCGTCGAGTTTGTTGTTTTTATCGCTTGTTCCGCCATGTTAGCGGGTTTTCAAGTCAACAGACGGTCAACCCGGGTCACCCTCCTAGGCAGGCTATCTCGGTTGACTTGAAAACCCGCGATAATGGCGGAACAAGCAATAAAAACAGCAAACTCGCCGCTATAGCCTTTCTTCTTGCTGCCATGTTTGTTATGTAGTGCTTTTAAGCGTAAATAAATCGCGCCGTTGCAATAAAAATAGTCCGCCAAAATATGAGCCCGCCAAAACAAGAGCCCACCAAAAAAGATAGCTCGCCTATATGATAGCCCGCCCACGTAAAGGCGGGCTATGTTTTAGCCCGGCTGGGAGGGTGACCCTGGTACCCGGGTCACCCTCCCTCCATGTAAACAGGCCCTACGTTCTTCCGCAACATTTATAGATTGAATAAAAATGCATTCCTTTTGAGTAACTGAAAATGGATCGAGCTGCAGTTGAATAATAAAGACTAGTACGTACTGAAACCCTCGTATAATTGTCTGTAAGATGATGTGTCAGTGTTTGGGAATATCAGAGTAATAATGCATGTTAAATAAAAACATACCAATATTCGTAATTGTTTTTTCTAACCAAAGCGTTTTATTTGTTTTGATACATTCATGGCGTCAATGTCTAGAAAAAGGTTTTTGTTTAATTATTTTAATTGAGTAGCTATTTTCAGTTCGTTAATAACTCCCTTAACAACGTTTCTCAAAGCGATGTTTTTAAAAGGTTTTCAACATTTACATGTATGTTAGCGTGGAAACTTTAGTAGTTATGAGCACAAGTTATTGATTAATTTTGATTTTCAACAATGCGTACAAAGTGCCTTTGAAAATAATGTTGCGATATCTTTTTTATTTCATGTAACGAACGATACTTTTACGTTTCATTCTAAAACCTAAACTACTGTTCGAAACAAATCCTCGTTTTCAGAAAAAAAACATTTTAATAACTGATAACCTGGTTGTGGAAGCCGGCTTAGATACATTTAAGCCTCTCTATAGGTACCTACAGACGTCGATTTCGTCGCGCGTTTTGAGCAAATCGTCGATTTTTTTAAACAAAAACGATGCTTTAATGTCGGAAATGTTTAACATACTAAACTTTGCTTTTGAGCGCGCACGCTGGGAGGGTTCACGTGCAGGAACTCTTCTCAGTGATATTGGTTATAATAATAATAATTAATAACTTGCTGGTTTTTATTCAGCGATATATAATTTTTAATCCGTCTGTTTAATGGTATCTCCGCTTTCCTTTCACCAGAAATAAAAAAATAAAAAAAGTATTAATGATGCATGATACGAACATTTTACTACCAAGGTGACAATCATGATAACACTAATATTAGTTAGGTGTTCGCAAAATTCTTACTCAATTCAGGAGCATCATTCACTTGCCTTTGACTCACAAAGTCACAGAAAAAGATTGTTCGATTATAACTATAGCTACATAGAAAATCTATACAGGGGCACCCAACGAATTTGTTCCTCACTTTATCTGTTCCCCAGCGTAATTCTTGCTGGCTGGCAAAATATTTCGGTATATTTTTTCTCCTGGAAATTTTCACTGAATAAGCTGGCTGACTTGAGTAGATCGGAAATAAACTGGATCGAAGAAAGCAAAGTCATACAACACAAGCTTTGATGGTTTTCTAAAATGATTTATTAGTTCTCAAGCCCCTTTAGTTACTTATTATTACTATTACTATTATTATTACTATATTTTTAAATTTTTTTTAAAATTTTAATTGCTGGCTGGGAAACATACATTTTTATCTGTTTTTATCCAGCTGGCTGGGAATTTCCCTATATGTGTCATGCTGGGAAAGAGGAACAGATATATTTTTCCCAGCAACGCAGAAGAACACCTGGAAATGCTTTTATATCATTTATTTTCATTTATTTGGATAACATAATGCGTTTTACCAAAAATTGTTCGTTGGGTGCCCCTGAACAACGAAAACTTGCAACAGATTTTAATCAAACATGCTGGGCAAGACAATAAATGCAAAAAAATCAACGTCTTAGGCCCAGTTTAGACGCCGTACTTTACATGAGCCGAATCGAATTCGATGAATTAAGTTCATGTGAGGTACGGCGTCTGAATCAATTTCAGAACGGCTGAATGAATTCGGATCGGCTCAGCCGTTCTTCCCGCCTGCTCAGCCGGAATAACGGCTGTGGACCGGCTTTGATTCAGAAGCCGAACTTCACATGAGCCGAAACAAATGCATGAATTATTATAATGTATTTTTCAGTATAACAGCAATTTTCCCCTATTAATTTAAGTTCGGCTGAATTAAGCTCGGCGTCTGAATCAATTCAGCCGGTCTAAATTAATTTGGGTCGGCCTAAATTCGAATTCGATTCGGCTCATGTGAAGTACGGCGTCTGAACTGGGCCTTACACGGACTATTTCATATTCAGTCTATCCAGAGAGAAAATTAAGAGAACATAATCTTGTCTTGCAAGAGAGATCACGGCAGATTACAGAGGTGCGCGATTACAGGGTGCGCGAAAGCCGGACAGGAAAACAAAGATGACCTCTTATAATATTTGCTAGAAAACACAGTCGAAGGCTCTATTCGACTTGAGAATCCTCCTCAAAATTTAACATATATTGCCCGTTAGAAACACACTTGAAGCAAACTACGCAATAGAGAACGGCGGATTTAATGCCACGAACTGTAGGAGTCGTGCTAGGCCTGTCACACTTTATACCTCGCTTATCTCGGGATAAAAAATTATCTCGGGATAAAAAAATATCTCGAAATAGAACGCGCATCACATATAACAATCAAACACAAAACAAATAGAACGCGCATTACACATAACAATCAAACACAGAACACTGAAATAGAACGCGCATTACACATAACAATCAAACACAGAACAAATAGAACGCGCATCACACACAACAAATAAACACAAAACAAATAGAACGCGCATCACACATAACAATCAAACAAAACAAATAGAACGCGCATCACACATAACAATCAAACACAAAACAAATAGAACACGCATCACACATAACAATCAAACACAGAACAAATAGAACGCGCATCACACATAACAATCAAACACAGAACAAATAGAACGCGCATCACACATAACAATCAAACACAGAACAAATAGAACGCGCATCACACATAACAAATAGAATGTGAATCACACATAACAATCAAACACAAAACAAATAGAACGCACATCACATAGCGTGGAGCGACTAGGAGTGTCGCTACTCCCCTGGATGGGATCGTTAGTCCATTGCAGGCGGGAAAACTCCCGGCATTTTTGTCAAGTTGTCCATTTATACTACTGGGTGGAGAGAGGCAAGCTAAGAGTTATGTGTCTTACCCAAGAACACAACACAATGGCCCAGGCCAGCGCTCGAACCTGGACCACTCGATCCGGAGGCCAACGCGCTAACAATTAGGCCACCGCGCCTCCGACATGAACTATAATTGATTGCGTTTATTTCTGGACAGATTATTTTCCAGAATTGGCGCGACAGAAGCGTCTTCTCGACCGAAAACATCAGGGACGACGGCGAAATTACTGGAACAAACTGCCGCGTAACGAACGGGAGAAAGACGAGCAAGGAGAAGACGATGTGGAATTCGAACCGTACTGGGAAGAAAAGGAAGCTTTTGAGGAAGACGAGGACATCGACGCGAAACAAGACGACGATCACTCACAGTAGTGGGAGAAAAAAAGGCCCCGCGTAGCGGTAGAAGATGACGCAATTGTTGCGTGACACTATTGTGACTCATAAGTCTGTTGCGTGACTAGCAGCGCAGCAAAGTAATGAAGAAGCAGTCAGGCCTTCGACGCAGACGCTCTTTGGGCTCGTCACACAATCTCTCGGGGGAGGAAAGATTGCGTGACGAACCCAAACAGAATCTACGAGGCTACTTCGCTGGAAGATTGGTCAGGAAATTTCTGCCGCGTTGCGCATGGCAGACGTGTTGAGCAGAAACGTCCAACTGCACTGACCTCGTTACTAATATTGAAACAGATTAGTTTACAAAGTCATGATGTATTTGCCATCACTATGTTATCATTTTAAACTAACAAACGATGGGTTTTGAGAAGTGAATGTAAAAGTACAGTTATATTTATTTTAGAGAAACATTTTATCTATTACATGTAAAGCAAAGCTATTCTATTTATGGAGAGAATGTTAGTTCTTTTTGACATTTAAATAAAATGCAAATGTGCAGTTAGACACAATTATTAAAAATAGTTACTTATCAATGTTCTGTGTAACATTTGTTTCCTAAATCCAAGAAAAGAATTCTCCGTGCCCCATGAATATTTTTTGAAATCTATTAATAGTTTTGCGCACATCACGTTACCGACATTTTTCTCGCCGCCGCGCATCGCGTCTCCTCGAGGTGATTTTCGCTCGCGTGCTCTCCCACTCGACTATCTCTGAGAAAAATGAGGGACTACTCGTAGTCTGTACATTTACAGCAATTTTCTACTTCAAAACTGTCGCAAAACTACGTTGCTTCCAAGCAGGAAATCAGGTGATTCATTGAACCTGTGCGGGGAATAGGCGCGCAAAACAGTCCGTGTGAGAGAAAAAAATAGAATGTTTTGCAGTCTATCGTAGAAGAATCCGAAGACTTTCCGAGTCTTATCATCCAATCATAAAACAGCGCGAGCACTCCGAAATTTGTCACGTCAGATTTAGCGTACTAATACGTCGGGTTCTTTTCTTGTCTCGCTGAATTTTAAAGTTATGCACATCTATTCGACGTTGTTGTCAAAGGGTGAAATCCCATTAGCAATGATAAAAGGGTGGAGACAAAATACATATTTTTTGATGACTCAGCCTTTATTTATCCCCTGCTGTCATTACATTGTTTCGTTTTGGTTACAAGCAAGGCGCCTTGACTTAAAAATACCCGCAGTTACTCATTACAATTAGTTAAGCATTTTCCAATCGATCATTCTGTTACTAAGTTAAGGCTGTCATTCTGTCATCATCATTGCCGCCATCATCATGGTCCACTGGAAAAGAAAAGAAAAATGACCCAGGATTACACATTACTCAGTTCACGTGTGGTTATAATTATCTCATATCCCACAAATACAAGCGCGCTTAGTTCAGTATTAATTCATGATTTTTTTTAATTATAAATGTATTCAACTGAATCATCGTTTGATCACATGATGTATGAAAAAGGCGACAAAACTAACAACCTCGATCCCAGGCTCTCTCTCTTTTTCTTTTCCTCCCTTGTCGACGACGACGGTCCGCCTCGTCCCCAGGCGCCGTTGCGAGCGGGAAAACAGGGAGCGCGGGGCTTGATGGTTAGGAGGCGAACCCACAACCCCACGCGCACCGCGCTCAAACAAGGAGCGACGTCTGGGGACGAGGCAGACGTACGGTCGTCCGTAATTCAATTCAGTGTACAAGAACACTCACCCTGACGCTTGGCATCAACATGCATGGGGTTCCGATCGATCCCTGGGCGTGCACGCTTATGATGAAGAGGAAATTGACCTTGCACGGTAATGGTCCCCAACATAATCAACAGCAGGCACAAATGAAACTTGGCATCCATAACTTGGAACTGCAACAGAAAAACAAACAGTCGACATGCTTATGTTACCTTTACACTGAAACTCACTCTAGTTGAATGTATTGCTGTATACGCTGATCGAGCCACCAATTTCTGCAGTGGGACAAGCAGCCATGCGGGGTATCAATGAAGACAGGCCCCTATACTACTTATACCGTCCGGCGACAAGCTACAACAACGTATACCCTGAGCTCACGCAAAAATAACGACGTCCATTTTGCAGCCTAAAGAAGTAATAATAAGCCAGCTCAAAAGACGTTTACAGCTTCAAAATTGGAAAAATCTTACGATAATCCTCGTATTTTTTGGGGCGCTGTCAGCTTCTAGTCAGTCTTCAAAATTTTACTGATGCCAGGATAGTAAATAGCTGAAAACATTTACTTTCGTCAATTTAGAACTTGAATCGTTTGTCGAAAAAGGAAAACTGGCTTTCTCCAAGCTAAGAAAACACATCGATTGACTCGACGTAGCACTTAAACAAAGCGTCCAAATTTGCAATAAAACTATTGTTTTGTGTATTGCTTTATAGTCCCACCTTTTCCTTGGAACTTGTGACGGATCAGGTTACGACGGCAAAATACTTCTTCAAATACTGACTAGAATGGCGAAAGTTGCTCTGATTTTTCCCCTGTAAGCCTCGTAAATTTATTCTCTTGCGTGCGGTGTTAGTCTTTCGCAATATACATGACTGCAGGCAAGTTAAAAACATTCTTAACTGTTGATGTAGTTACACTGACGACCAAACCATTACTGACCGCGTGGTCAGTTTTATTGTTTAATCTCACCCTAGTTAATACATTAAAATTAGATCTCGATTTTATCTAAAATCGCCTTCTTTTTTTACCAAGTTTATGCTATTTGTCTCTCCCGCAACGTTATAAATTTGGGAGAAATGCATTATTTCCGAGTAACTGAAAATGGCGAGAGATGTTTAATGCTGGAACTCTTGTATAATTGTCTTTGGATGATGGGGCAATGTTTGGAATTATGTTAAAAATAATACCTATTTCTAATTGTTTTGACTACCATTCTCTTAATATATTTCTGGCGCCAATGTCTTGAAGAATATGTTTCGAAAACGGTGAAAATAGAAAACCCGTTTCCAGCATGCGAAAACGGAAGGAATGTATGTTCAATAAAGGAGGATGAATTTTGTTGTTTCGAATGCGCGAAATTTCTGTTATTTGGTTCTCGCATTCCTCCGGAGTAACTATTACTAAATATCGTGAGAGTTTTTGCGGAATCAGGGACTGGACATAATCAGCATATTATTATTATTATATTAAAAAATACCTTCTTGTTCATGTTTGTTGATATGGTAAAATACTTTGACTACCAAAGCTTTGTCTTGAAAAATGAAAGACAGTCGAACCTGTATATAACGGCCCTGTATTAAGCGGCCACCCTCTATTAAGGCGGCCAGTTTTCATAGTCCCGAGGATGGCCGCATAATACAGGTTCGACTGTATTAATATTTATTCTTTCTTTGATATGTTTCCGTCGTTAGAATGTTACTGAAAGCACGCAATGTAGTGAACGCTTTTAGTCTTGAACTTGAACAAGCATTTGAGCGAAAAATGTGACACCAAAACTACCTGGTTTTCATTTGATGTTATCAAAATTTTAAAACCAAAACTACTTTCGACATTCGACATTCAGCTGCTCACAGTTTATTGTCACTACAATAAATTAAATTAGTCTTCATGGGAATTTTTATGTCGAGCAGATCTTCGTTTTAGAAATAAAGCGTTTTCAATTTGTTTATTTGGTCGAGCAATCTTCTTCTACGTCCAGATGCAATAAATAACCCTAGATAGCGGATAAAGGGATTGGACAAGTAATAATTTAGGGCCTGTTTACATGGAGGGAGGGTGACCCGGGTACCCGGGTCACCCTCCTAGCCGGGCTAAAACATAGCCCGCCTTTACATGGGCGGGCTATTAGGGCGGGCTATCATATAGGCGAGCTATCTTTTTTGGTGGGCTCTTGTTTTGGCGGGCTCATATTTTGGCGGACTATTCTTATTGCAACGGCGCGATTTATTTACGCTTAAAAGCACTACATAACAAACATGGCAGCAAGAAGAAAGGCTATAGCGTCGAGTTTGCTGTTTTTATCGCTTGTTCCGCCATTTTAGCGGGTTTTCAAGTCAACAGACGGTCAACCTGGGTCACCCTCCTAGGCGGGCTATCTCTGTTTACTTGAAAACCCGCTAAAATGGCGGAACAAGCGATAAAAACAGCAAACTCGCCGCTATAGCCTTTCTTCTTGCTGCCCTGTTTGTTAGGTAGTGCTTAATAAATCGTACCGTTGCAATAAAAAAGTCCGCCAAAACATGAGCCCGCCAAAACAAGAGCCCACCAAAAAAGATAGCTCGCCTATATGATAGCCCGCCCTAATAGCCCGCCCATGTAAAGCGGGCTATGTTTTAGCCCGGCTGGGAGGGTGACCCTGGTACCCGGGTCACCCTCCCTCCATGTAAACAGGCCCTAAGTTCTTCCGCAACATTTATAGATTGAATAAAAATGCATTCCTTTTGAGTAACTGAAAATGGATCGAGCTGCAGTTGAATAATAAAGACTGAAACACTCGTATAATTGTCTTAAGATGATGTGTCAGTGTTTGGGAATATCAGAGTAATAATGCGTGTTAAATAAAAACATACCAATATTCGTAATTGTTTTTTCTAACCAAGCTTTTTATTTGTTTTGATACATTCATGGCGTCAATGTCTAGAAAAAGGTTTTTGTTTAATTATTTTAATTGAGTAGCTATTTTCGGTTCGTTAATAACTCCCTTAACAACTTTTCTCAAGGCGATGTTTTTAAAAGGTTTTCAACATTTACATGTATG